CGAATGTTTACAAAAGCTGTTGACTGGGCGATTTTTTTTTCGGCAGATTGCGCCAATAAATACATAAACAAAATGTAGCACAGGAAATGGAGGTGAGCGAGAGAGGGAGAAGGACAGAGAGAGAGAGAGAGAGAGAGAGAGAGAGAGAGAGAGAGAGAGAGAGCTGGACATACATACACATATGTATACATATACACAGACAGATTGATTGAAAACAATTTTCGGATGTGGCCGCTGTAAGCCGCTAATGTAAACAGTTACAAATTATTAAACAGTGTGAAAATCAACGAAGAGCAAAAGTAGCGAAGAGTAAATGAAAAGACAAAAGCCCAGCTTAATGGCAAGAGAGCGCGCGCGAGAGAAAGAGAGAGGGAGAGAGAGAGAGCTTAAAGCAGCTGCGGTAGCAAGCTTTTCAGGCAATTTGTGTGTGTGTGTGTGTGTGTGTGTGTGTGTGTGTGTGCGTGTGTGTGTGTGTGTGTGTGCGTGTGTGTGTGTGTGCGTGTGTGCGTGTGTGTGTGCACTGTTCCAATGGAAACAACGTCAAATTTTTAAGCGGATTTCGTTTGTGAGCCACAAAATGAATTCAAAGGACCAACTTGTTGCTTGAGTTTCTTTTTTTTTGCAGCTGCCTGGCCACGCAGCCCACCCAAAATGCCAGGGCGTGGCGCACACAATTGTCAAACAAACACACAGACACACGTGCATCGAGGGCGAGGGTCGTCCTGATTGCATTGTGCATTGTTTGTCTGATTGACGAAATGCAAACGAAAATGTGTCGAAATGGAACTAAGCAAATGCAAAGGTGGCAAATGCAACACAGCAACAAGCAGCAGCAGCACCTACAATAACAACAACAACAGCAAAGGGAGGCAGCAGCAGCAGCCGCCAGAAATGCTGACCATAAAAGATATGGTGCAGCAGCAGCGACGCGGCGACGGGGCGACGGGGCAATGTGATAAATACACAAGCGCTGACTGTTAGCGTGAGGTGCGATTTCCGACGGGCAAGGTGGAGTTGAAGTTGCCCGCGGAGGTGGAGGTGTAAATACAAATAAGCGGAGGTGATATCTCAGAACTTCCTTTTCACACATTCGAGAGCAGCCTACACAAATACAAGCGCAAATATAGCAACAACACTAATGCAAGCTGGCACGCACGTACGCGCACAAATTGGGAGAGCGTTAAGCTAGATAGAGAGAGCGAGTGAGAGAGAGCGGCAGAGAGGGAGAGCAATTGGCTGCCGTACGTATGTGTGTGTGCGTGTGTGCGCATTCAAAAAGCCAAAACGCCGCCGCCAACGCCGACGCTGACGCTGCTTTCCGGTGAACGCCAGATCCGCCACTCACAGCCGGCGGCAAATCATGAAAGCGCCTGTGCTACGGGCTCCCGCTAGCCGCTCCCCCTGCCGCTGCGCACACTGCACAAAAAACAAAAACAAAGCAACAGCAACAACACCGAACAAAAACCAAAGCAAAAAAAAAGTAGACAGCAGTGGCAGCGGCGCAGCAGCGCAGTCGCAACGAAATGCGTTTTCTTTATTTTTGACGCGTCTTAGATTCTCGGGCCGCCTTTGGCTGCTGCTGTTGTTGTTGTTGCTTGGTTTTTTTGATTTCTCGGAATGGCATCTACTTTGAACCGCCACGACGACTGCATTGTATATTTGAAAATCATTTCAATTTAAATACAAATTTTCTATGAAAATGCACGCATTACACATACGCGCGCGCGCACACACACAAGCACGCACGCACGCACGCACATGTTAGACGTACGTGCGTGCAAGTGCCCCACACCCCCCGTGCACCCACAGACAGTTGTTGACCACGTTTTCAATGTGATTTGTGGGTGTTTCATGGCGGATGCGGATGCAAAGGCAGCGCGCGGTAAAAATGTTCTTTCTTCTTTTACACAAAACTGCAATTGGCAAGCGGCTGGCAGCTTAGCGGTGCGGCGCAGGGGAGTTGGTGGGCGGGTGTGGGTGTTGAGGGGCGGGCACACTAAACGGATCATCATTACAAGCAATGTTAGACGCACTGCGCACAGCAAAACCCCAACTATAAACAACTCATGCCACAACCAAAGGGGGGCTGTCTAGCAGGGAGAGGGGGCGAGCGGGCGGCAATGCTGGGGGTGGGGGCAGGGTTGAGCAAAGGACTGGCACACGCATAAACATGTCCATCGAATGCGTTTCGGTTTATGCTGGCAGCGCATGGAGCATGGGGCATGGGGCAGGGGGCACGGGGCATGGGGCATGGGGCATGGGGCATGGGGCAGGGATCGCGAGGCATACTCCCGCTCTTGGGGTTCTATGTTGATATTCATTGAAACTTTGCACAAAATCAAAGAGTTTTTTTTTATGACACTTGGAAATAGGAAAATCGATCGGAATTGAAGTTATTTTTCTGGTGCTTAGAGTATCGAGAAACTTAGTTTAATACTATTTGAATTGTTTTCATATTTTCAAACAAATTTGGATCTTGCATTTGCCGCTTTAATTTTTCCAATAGAAATAATTTAGCTTAACTATATATACGATACAGTTACATCGGGTTTTCTATATGATCTTGAAAAATCTGTACAAGATTTCGACCATTGTGATTTGTATTTGTATGTATTTGTTAGGGGTATTCAATTCGTACAACTGGGTTTTCTGCAATTTCAGTATTCTTCTTTTTTGTTAGTTTTTTTTTTTTTTTAAGTTTTACTTAATACATATATAAATAGATTAATATATTTTGTAATTTATTTATATTACATTGTATTTTTAAAAAATTACTCGTTTAAAAAGTTGAATATCTTTTATTAATTCCCATTAGCGCTTCTTTTTAGAAGAATGATCGGACTTAAAAAAAAGTATGTATATGGAAAAAGGAAAATATAAAATATTTTAAGAAAAAAGTTATTTAATTTTTTTTAGTTTGGCTGAAAACAATTTTTACCCCACATTTCAGACAATCAAAAAAAAAAAAAAAAAGACTAACAAAATAATCCCCAATTTTTTTTTTTTAATTTCAGACTATTTTATTGTTTTTGGAAAATGGGAGAAAGAACAGGAAAATGTTATGAAATAATAATAAAAAAATAAAAATATTTTACTTCAATTAAAAAATTATTTAAATAAATAATAACAATAAAAAAAATACTAATAATAAAAATATATATGTGTATAAAATTAAAATAAAATAATAATAATGTATATATTTAAATGAAAAATAAATTTATTATAATAATAATCAATAAATAATGATAATAATAATATTCTAGCAAATGATTAAAGCTGATTTCTACCGGAATTCGCTGCGATTCGATTCTTTAGCCTTTTTGTTGGGCCCTCAATTGACCTAAACGGGAATTAACTTGTGCCTGGACTGATCCATTGGCCCAATTTAAGCCAGACTTAAGAGCTGGCAAAGGAATTTGTGTGCAGCAGTAATATTGTGTGTGCGTGTGTGTGTGTGTGTGTGTGTGTGTGTGTGTGTGTGTGTGTGTGTGTGTGTGTGTGTGTGTGTGTGTGTGTGTGTGTGTGTGTGTGTGTGTGTGTGTGTGTGTCCGGCATCAAGGACAAGAAAATCGAATGCAACTGTCACGTTGGATGACCTTTGGGAAAATACGTGTTACGGCCAGAAATTGTTGGCATCCATTCGTCGCAAAAAGGATCGGTTTTTGTTCTCGACCAAATCTCTCACCTTTCAAATGGGAATTACCGAAACAAGATGGCAAGAAGAAGATGACGAAGAAGAATATGGCCAGAAGAAGTATTTTTGGGCGAAGCATGCAAATAAAAATTTCACACCTTGGACAACGGGGAAATACCCGCTGGAAAATAGAAAAACTGGCCAACCTGCTGTTCTCTGGCAAAAACAGATGCAAACGGCAGATACCCTGCCATAAGGAGCATGAGCATAATATTGGGCTTAAGGACAAAGACAGACAGGGAGAGAGAGAGAGAGAGAGAGAGAGAGAGCACTCGAGGCATTCGAGTGTTGCGAGGCTTCTCAATGAAAGCAATTGTAGTTGTTGCCAGTCGAGGGAGTGTTTCGTACAGAGATGCACATACACACACACACACACACACATACCTGAACACACACACAGAGAGATAGAGAGCGACGCGCAGCAGCTCTTCACGAGGTAATTCGTAAATCCCAGCCGCAGGTATTTAGTTCCGCCTTTTGTTTAGCTATGGAATTCCCAATGCTATTATTGCACCTAAGCCACTGCGACACGACACGGCCAACACACACACACACACGCACACCTTGCCTAGCTATGCGCTCGCTCGCTCGCACTTGCGTCTGTCGCCGGCGCCGCAGGTCGCGTTGGAATCCAGCGGCGTCGCTTGCAACGTTCGCTTGCCATGAAAAATCCACACGCACAATCTTTTCATAGTTTTTGTTGAAAATAGACAGACACACACAAACACACACATGCACGCACACTTGCAGCGGGGTTTTGTCTGTGCGGCTGAATGGCCCGAAGAAACACTTGGCCAAAAAGTCTAACAGGCAAACCCTGCACGGCTCTCTTGGGTCGCTCCGGGTACTGGCCCGGGGCTATTGTTCAATAATTTTTCAGTTTTTTTTTGTTAGTGACATTGATGAATTGAAGAATGATTGGCAGTGCCGCAGGGACATCGGCCGCGGCAGTGGCAGCGACGTCGGCAGCGGCTTTTGCCTCGCTTCAATAGAAAAATAAATAAGTCAGCGCGCCGACGTTTGGGCCAGACTGACTGGCACCTTTTCGGGCCGCCTTTCAGCTGAACGCCGCACAGTGCAGAGCGAGCGAGACGGCGCATGCGACCGGGATGAGGCATGTACACTTCAGGATGCCGCTGCCGCTATAAGAATGAGCGTCACAATTTGTTGTGCCCCATTGCCCAAAATTGTGCGTCCGGCTAATTGATGGCCGGCAAATCGCCCGGCCGTGTCCAACTAATGTCCTTACACATACATATATATGTATTCTGTATTCTATAGATTATGTGAAATGGAGCCAACTCACCTGCTTTGCGAACAGGTGTCGATAATTCGACCATCAGGTCGGCCAGATTCTTCTTTTGTCCGCTCTCGTTGAGCGGCGTTATCAGCTTTTGCATGTACGTGAAATCCTATTGAATATAATAATTAACAATACATATAATAATTATAAACATTATGCGTACAGATTAGCCCAAGATTAAGTGCAGCACGCGTCAGATAACGACGCTCTGATATAAGCTCAAGCATGTGATAATAAAAATAAAACAAGAAAGTAAATCTATCTGCGGCGCGCCGAAAATCAAATACCCTTACAGACATATGGCTTCTGCTCTTGGTTGCAATCGGAGCTGGGCGCGGGCCGGGTTTTTACAAAAAAAAAACGCCCAAACACAAAGTTAACCCTTTCATGGAAAATGCAATATTTATTTTACGCCCCTTTTCAACTTTTGGCACTTGTTGGAATATTCGCAATTGAGAAGTATCCCAAGTATATACAAGACCTCTTTGTTTTAATCAAAGTCAGGCTCTATAGATCGTGATCCTTGTCTTGGTGAGATTTGCATGAAATGGGGATTTTGCGAATACACGACCCATGCCCATACTGCCTGTCCACATCTAGAGTTAATTGGCGCCCGCATCTAACATCAATTGCTCAGATACTGTGATTCGATTGTATGTTTCGCCTTGGCCTTTCGCCAGAGACCTATCAAGAAGCTCTTATAGCTTATAATACGAACTGGATGAACAAAGCAAGTGTAATCCCAAATGTAACTACAAAAAGTCAAGGATTGCTGGTGAGAAGAGTTAAAGGATTGCGAATTAATGTCAACCTACAGACAGATGCAATGGCGAAGGACCTGCTTATGGTTACAGTGTGTAGCTATTATTATTATTATTTGATCAAAACGCAGCAAATGTGCTCAGCAAGCCACAAAGGGCTATAGCATGGAGAGCCGTGCTGCCAGATTAGTCCTCTGGTTAGAGCTGATACCCTGAGAGGCTGCTGGTAATCACGGACAACACGAAGGACAGTGAGGTTCACACTCTATACATTATAATTATATGGGTTGAGATTTTATGAGACAAGCATGCCAAGATAATAAGCCTTTTTTGGCGAGAACTGAGGAATTAGTTTACTTAGAAATAGCCAGACGGACATGCGTTTGATATAGTTGAAGAGGATACAAAATAAATATAACACGAGCACACATGAAGATTGTGTCAGATATTAAGGAATACTTAACAATTCAGCTTCATTTAGGAGCGGCAAAGGGCAACCTGATCTATAAAGGAGACCTCACAATAGAGAAGGCGCGGCACTGCGAGCTGAATGTGCTCGGGAGTCCCTAAAGTGAGCAGCTGAGTTGCTCGAGCGACATCTGAGCTGAGAGCACAAACTGAGTACAGCTTACACATATGTCTTATAAATAATAACTGAATTACAGTGGCAAATATTGTCGGTTATATGGAAGATGTTTCAAGTTGGCTTCGGTTTTGGGAACTTACATCATCGTGATAGAAACGCACTGGAATATTTTTGAATGACTCCTGATCGCTGTAGGGCTCCATGAGGCGTCTGTTGACCGCCCAGAACTGATCGAACTTGTCGTTAATCAGGCCAAGCCACAGCTGATTGTGATCCTTCTTTTGCATGGCAGAGATGACCAAGCCTCTGTGCTTAAGCACATCGGCCTCCTTCAGGCAGGACAGATAATGCGACTCCAGCAGTTCCCTAGAAATGTTAAGCGTGCGCATTAGCTGCTGCTCGCATATATATATATATATATATATTGAATGTATATGCATGCATTTTGTATACTTTGTGTTCAATTTGACGAGCGTCTCTTCGGGAAATTTGGAAAAGTGTATCGTAATGCACCAGGGTGTGCTGTCGTCATCCGGATGCAGCAGATCGTAAAGCACACCTGTGCATGAAACATAAAACCGCAGCAATATTAGATAATGAACATTTAATAGAAGTTGCCACGCCCACTATACCGCCCACTGTAGGTACCTATTGGAAAATGCAAGCGCAGCGGCGTCCCGTTGAAATCGAACCAGGCGGCGCCATCCTGGTGCTCGGCAGCAATATAGCGGGTGAAATACTTGCGCACCTGTAGGCATAAGTTAATGCAGCTGTTTTTAGCAAATAACTAACAAGTTTTCTTTGTTTTTTCTTTTCAAAGGAATTTACCTTGTCTGTGACGAGGGGCAAGTAGCTGAGGCGCGAGACCATCAGATAGAAGGGCTCCGGGCGGATGCCGACAATTTCTTCGTTGTCGGCTTGAAAACAAATGCCAATTTGACCTTCCCATATCATGCGCAGCACCTCCCGATCGTGTGCCATGTTTAATTTATTTATATTTTGCACAAAATATACTTTTGCAGATCCACCGTATGTTATTGTTTTCTGCCATTCACCGCGAAATACGTAACAGGTTGGCAGTCCCATTCATTGCATTGAGCTGGCGGAGCCACTTGTTTAGTATATCGATATATCGTCTGTTCGTGCTTAGATTTTTTGCAAATGCATCATCTATCGCAATGACTGTGACCACTTAATAACTAAAGGCGGCAACATGTATTATTTAAAATTATGTAGCGTGGCCGAATGCAATCCATTGCTTATTTTTATATCGTATTTATTGCGCTACAAACATGCAAGATCTTTGCGCATATCGCTCGCTCCAACTATCGCAAAGCTTATCACACGTATATCCACTCAAATTGCTATCGATGTTTTCGTGGCCAGCACGATCGCTACCGATCCAAGTATTCGATAACGTAAGTCGGTGTGCAGGTTCGATTTCGATTGCAGCATACAGAATGCAGCTCTGGGAGCGCATAAATAAATAAAGTTGCTCGAATTGTTGGCCAGCGGCTGCGTTTATTTTTGTTGCGGTCAAATGTAAATATGAAGTGTGAATCTCCAATTGCATATACCAAGCAATACAAATCGTTAAACATTTATGAAAATTGACAAGATCGCGTTTTGTTACTGGCCAATTGAATACGCAAACGAGAAGCATCGGCAACGGGCCTCAACAGAATGGATGTTGAAATACCTGTTTTGGCTGGATATCTTAATGTTCCAACGCAAACTGGATTTTCGCTAAATCGTATCTCGAAAAAGGTAAGAGCCTGGCAAAGAACATGCAGATTTCGCAATTAAACAGCAACAATTGCACAAATGTGCAATGCCAAATGCCAAATATATTCGAAATGCAACTTTCCTTATTTTGGCAAATGCGTATTAAAACAGGACCTCGCCATGTGCATTTGTGTGTGTGCACTTGTATGCTTGTGTGCGCATAGCCATACGTGTGTGTGTGTATGCATATGTGTGTGTCTAGATATCTCCATCTGCATACTTGTTGCATACAAATGAGAAGCATAAGGTGGGAGAAAGAAAGAAACATGCCAAACAGCGAGCCGAACATATTTTCGATTTGCGTGTGCGCGCCTGAGACGTACACACACACACACACACACACACTCATGCTCGTACACACAATAAACGTATGTATGTATGTATGCGTGCGTGTATGCTCGCGATGACGGCTGTTTTGGGGATTCATCCATGCTTCATGGTGCCGTTGTCTCCATATACATATACATATACATATGCATACACATATATAGATATATATGCATATATACATATATACATATATGTATACACTTCCATATGTCAGGGAATTCTTAAGTGCCTTTTGAGGATTGGGGCCGTGCCCAGTTGAAATGAATGTATGTGTCGTTTTGTTATGTAAGTCCGAATTTTCGTTGGAAATTTGATTAGCACAAACATTAAAACCCGATCTTACAACACCAAATTAATAAAGCCAACCTTCGAGATGTATTCGAGAAGTTGTCCAAACAAAAGCCTTGATATTAGAAGAAATTACCCAGAGTTGCCCGGATCTATTCGGATTATTCGACTTTAATTCTTTGTATATACTCTATAACCCAAACTGGAACTTTTTTTTATAGTTAATTTTGATATTTTTTGATTAGATTAATGATTAGATGCTTATGGTCTCTTATATATTCCAGAAATCATGCAGTCGCTATTGCCTCCTATTCAAGGCCAGTCGCCATGGCATCGCACGCCTGGAGATTTGCGAGAATAAAGATGACAAGAATCCAAAGATCTTCACACTGGAGAATTGTGTTAAGATCACACAGGAACCGCCGCCAGCGAATCTCATACAGATTGTCAAGCGGAATGGTCAGCTAACCCTCAATACGAACAGCGATGAAGAACTCAAGGATTGGGTGACTGCACTGCAAACGGTCGCGTTTTGCGACAATAGCGGCCTACATGCCGCCCACGGTGCCATCGAGGAGGACAATGATCTATATTGCAGCTCATTTGTAAGTCCAAGAACTACATTAAACTAACAAAGCTGTGAGCTTACACATCCGAAAGGTATTTAGGAGCAGACTTTGAAACCCAGAACTGAACGAGGGGCAGGTATTAGTTTACATAAAGTTCTTAATAGAGCAGCAGAAAATGGAGCTCAACGCGAGATGTTCTCGATAAGTTCTTAGTTCAAATAAGTTGCAGTTCCTTGAGAGCTCTTTAGAAATTATGACCTTGATGACCTTTCAACCTTTGATGTCGTGCCATGTTGATTCGGTGCGAGGAGAGTTTATTGAGAAGAACACAAATAATATGAGATATAGCTTATATCAGCAAAAGCAAAGTCTCACATAGATTCAAACAGTTGCAAGACTTTCTACTTTTAATATAATCACCGAACCTTTTCATAATGCTCAGAATGCTTTGCTCGTATCTAAGAAGCACAGGGAAAATAGCTTGAGTTTGAGATATCTTGAAAAACCAAAAAGTTTTCCATACAAAAACCCGGCTCAACTGTTGATCAGGAATATATAAACTTAATGAATTCGGATATGTCACCTTCTATGCGTTACACATTTCGAAACCCGCAAGGGTATAAAAGTGAAAATGTCTTAAATAATAAGATAAGTATTGGGATAAGATTCTAGGGAGCCGGGGCATATTATTCTTCCTTAGGCTGGGATCAATAACACTTCTAGAAAATGCTTGAGATTTTTGTGTCTCTTGAACTACTCTTGAGCTGTGATATAATGATTCTCCTTTTTAAAACTTGTTGCTTACTGTGCTAACTTTGAGAGGTGTCTCATACTTTTCGCAAAATCCACAACTCCGGGTAGGCAAAGCTTTCCGAGCAAGGTTTAAGGAAACAGTCATACGATCGGGCTACAAATATTTGCGAATAAATGAATTAAATGATGTTAAATATCCAAGGGGGCAGGAAAAGGGACGTCTTAAAGCTTAAGGCAAAACATCTTGCCCGGGCAAAGCCGGATTTTACCTGCAAGTAATAAGGATGGAATTCGTTTGGGAGAGTGGATAAAGGAAAGGCAACAAAGATCGTTTGTAAAAAAGTATATTCCTTTAAATATTTTGGTCGTGTTCTCCATTAAAAATCCATTTGACTTAACAACAGACAATGTCATTGTCAGTGTAGCGTTTGATTCGATTGCCGTTCGAATTGCCAGATCTTTGCACCCATTGAAGGTAGCTGGAGAACTCGTTGAAGGTCGCATAACGCACCATGTTGCACATGTGGCCGTGATGATAGGGACAGGACGGATCGTAGATCCAGTCGCGCGGACAGCTTCCGTTGCCACCAACATGCCTGTCCGGTTTTAAGCGTCTAACAGATGGGCGGAGCGGGCTGTGACTTAGCATATCTGATACAGGCAATACCCTGTAGGCATACTCACAGATCGGCGAGTCCATCGAATATGAATTTGCGCACTTTGAGCGTCTCCCTCAAGTACTTCATCGCTGGTGGGCCGTCCTTGCGCCGATCGAAGGTGATTAAGAACACAAAAGGCATCACATCGAACCGTATAACACGCATCAGATCCACAGCATAACGTTTCCGGAGCGGCCAATCCCCATCCAGCCAGAGTATGGCCGTGTATAGCACCTGTTAAATTGGAAGCAGATAGGTAGACAATGGAGGCCAAATATTCTTGCAATACTCACTTCCATTTCCGTATTGACCGACAGATTGTCCAATTGCAGCAGACGTCGCACTTTGCTAAACTCCAGATTCATAAACTCCCGACTGGCCGCATAGGACATCCAAACGCGTCCCACATAGGGCGTTATGATCTTCTCGATGTTGACGCACACGCGCTGCGATACGATATACATGGTCAGGACACGATCTGTGGTCTTTAGCACATCGTGGGCGAGTCGCCAGCATTGTTTGGTCAGCTCCTCGATGGCCAGGAACTGTGAGGCACGCATTAGCTCGATCAGCTGGGTGAGCGTTATCGAATTAATGGGCTCCAGCAACCAGCGATAGATGTTAACAAAACTGCGCGACGCTATCTTGGATGCGGGCAGATACAGCACCTGCGAAAAGTTGCGATCGTTAAAGAAGGCGGACGTTAGGCCCAACAGCATGGAATGGCAATAGAATTGTTTGCCCTCGACCACAACGGCCAGCGTGGGTCCAATATTCTGGCGAAATAGATGGCACAGCTCTTCGACCAGGTCTGGTTTCTTGGGCAACATGTTCGACTCCCAGCTGAGCAGCGGCTCGGTGAGCAGCTCATCCAAAAAGATTTTCGGTACTCTCTGGGCCACCAGCTTATTGAGATCCGACATGGTCGCGAGCGATTCATCGCATGTATGCATGCTCGTATGGCATTCCGTGATGGGTATGGGATTCTTAAGCTTATGATCGTACACCTGCTCGCGCTTGAGATCGTTGAGCAAGTGCAGTTCGTTTTGCATATCCTTTTCCCATTTCGCTTGGCGCACGCGCTGTTGCTCTTTGATACCGTCTGCGATTAGCTGCTGTCGTTGGGCTTCTTTCTCAGCATTTATGCGCTCCTCCTCTTTATTTGCGTCTGCATTTTGATCCTGTTCATCGTCGGCGTCAGAGTCGCCAGCTCCCAGCTCCCTTTGATGGCTTATGAATTCTACAATCCGATCATGTTGCTCTTTTTGCGAGTTCTTCGACTCGCTAGTAGTCTTCCAATCTTCTCGGAGTGCGCGTATTGGTGTCCAAACAGTGTCCGAGGCCTTAGCATCCTTTTCTTCCAATTCTTTTTTGGCATTTTTGGCACGTTTCAAATCCATTCTGCATACGTTGAATTTCGAATTTGCTTAACCAAATCTTCAGGGCGCTACACGCAAGTTCTATAATATACAATGTTTAATGTTATAAATGTACAAAAAAAAAAAAAAAACCAGACCAGCTTCAAATTTAACTTTGCATTCGGCCACAAGGCCAGCTTGTTCGTTCTCAAAAGCGGTACTGATCGCAAAGCTTACTAAGTTATTTGCTGGAGACCGAGGTCTAGGTAGGTTATATACAAAAAAAATAGGAAGTATACAGAAAACGAGCCGAAAAGAGCATAAAACAATGAGTTAAAGGAACGAAAGGAAGCAAAACTCAATTGATATAAACTGGACTGGACAAACGTTAACGTGAATGGGGAAGAAAGAGACAAATTAGCGTAACATTTGCGAATGCAAAATGAAAAAGAACTGTTAAATGGAATAGAAGATGTATTTTTGAAATGCTGTAAGAGCTGTAACAGATGATTATGCAACGTTTAAGAATGAAGCGCAAAGAAGAATTGCGAACTATAAAAGCAATGCGTGTATGGGAAAAGATATGGAAAGGGAGAGCGAAAGCGAGAGAGTAAGAGAGACAAAGAGATTAAAAGGGAGAGAGAGAGTAAGAGAGAGAGAATGCTCTTGAAAATGACATATTTTGCAACATTTGCAAATGTGACTCGAAAATGCAAAGCCAAAAAAAAAGCAGAAAAACAAGCCAATCTTGTCTTGATCATCAAAATTGATATAAGAAGTGCGTAGTTAGAAGCGATACGTAGAATTTTGCTTGGAAATAGAAGCCAAGCTGCGATAAGAAATGTAAGGCAACTGTTTTTCCAACCAGTTGCATAAACAATATGTAAATAATATGTGAATGTAATCGCGTTATCGTTAAGAAAACAAACACGAACCGTGCCTCCCTCCAAACGGAAGCTCCAATTTCTAACAACAACAGCAACAACAAAAAAAAGCAGCCTAATTGTGGCAACAGCTGCAGCTGGCTGCCACACGATATCCACACACACACATACACACAATTAGGCGCAACTGATGCTGATCATATTTTGTTTTATCAACAGGACGGATTGTTTATTATCACGCTGATACCCTCGGAGGCGTCGATACGGTGCAACATCGAGCCGCGCACATATATGCTGCAGATGACGCCAACGGAACTGCAGCTGAAATCGGAGGATCTGAATGTGACAATTGCCATGTGGCCGTATCGATTCATACGCAAATATGGCTATCGGGATGGCAAATTTCAGTTTGAGGCAGGACGCAAGTGTACAACGGGCGAGGGTGTCTTTACGCTGGATCATACCAATCCGCAGGAGGTCTTCCGCTGCATGTCCGCCAAAATGAAGTCCATGAAGAAGCTGATCAGCGGCGACAGCCTGAGCAGCATCGAATGCGGCGAGAATCAGTTCAGTGCCGCCGCCTGCATGGAGCCCGGCTCGCGCAGTCCGCTGCCCCCATCGCCATCGAGTAATCCGCATGCCGGCGAATTTGAGATCAATTCCACGCAGAGCTGCATATCGCTGCGCGGCTTCATTAGCTCAAATGATTCGCTCAATAATTTTTCGGCCAACGGCAGCGCCGGCGCCGGCACCGCAGCTGGCAACAGCATCAGCCTCTCCGTCTCATCGCAGGCCGCCGCCGCCGCCGCTGTCGCAGGCAAACACATTCCCAATAAGCCGCCGCGCAAGCTGCCAACGCCGCTGGAGAAGCTGAATGTGGTGAGCCCGGCGGCGACGGGTCTGCTCAGTGGCGGCGGCCAAGCTCAATGTGATAAATATAAGAATCTTGTGAAATATGAACCGGTTGCCATAACAACATCATCGCCCTCGGACGCCAACAGCAAGAACAGCGGCTCGGCTGTGATACTGAAGCCCGCCTCGCCGGATCCGTTGCGCGGCAGTCCGCCGGACTTGCCGCTGCGCAACGAGAGCTGCGGCAAGCAGTTGGCGCTGGAGCGCGACTACGAGTCCATTGAGAACATAACTGATGCCTGGAAGACGCGCGGCGTTGGCGATGTGCGCCACTGTGAGCGCATACCCGCCCTCAGCTGTGACAGCGATTTTGTGCGCCAGCGTTCGCTCTCGCAGCGCGACAAGCGCAAGGATCTGGCCACCAACACCTGCAGCAGCAGCAGCAGCACGCCCAAAATAATAGACATTGATATTGGCGAGGGTGTCGGTGTGGGCGTCGGTGTGGGCGTGGGTGTACTGATCTCGCCGGATGCCAATTACGATCGATTGGACTTTCTGTCGCCAAACAATAAAACCTCCAGCGGCTACAAGACGATTGTGAATTTAACGCTGCCCACGAAGCGCTGCAGTCCGCCGCCGCCGAACGAATATGAACTGATTGCTAGTCCCGATACGGAAAGTTTTCGCAAGGCCGATGACAGTCATCTTGGCTATGGGGTCCTGCGCAAGTCCAGCAATAATACTGCCACCAGCAACAACAACAACAACAGCAATAACAATAATAATCTAATTAACAATAATAATAATAACAACAACAACAACAACAACAACACACTGCCCGCCACTAACAACAACAACAGCAACAATGCAGCTGGCACTGGCCAATGTGCCACGCCCACAACGAACAAGAGCAACAACGATGCCGCCCTCGATCATCGCAATTACAACGGACTCAACTACACGATTGTCAGCAAGCCCAAGCGCGTATGAGAGCGAGACGGCAAGCGTCAGCGAAAGAGACAGCGAGAGCGAGCGAGAGAGAGAGAGAGAGAACACAGACAGATACATAGATAGTTAGACAGAGAAAGCGAGAGACGCAGAGAGAGAGAGAGAGAGAGAGAGAGAGAGAGAGAGAGAGAGAGAGAGAGAGAGAGAGAGAGAGAGAGAGAGAGAGAGAGAGAGAGAGAGAGAGAGAGAGAGAGAGAGAGAGAGAGAGAGAGAGAGAGAGAGAGAGAGAGAGAGAGAGAGAGAGAGCGAACAGAGCACAAGAATTCTCATTTGGAAAACGAACAAAAATTATATTAAAAAGCACAGAGAGCGTGAGAGAAAGAGAGAGAGAGAGAGAAAGAGAGGGAGCAGAGAGCATTTGTAGGCAATAAATTGAACACAACCCGTGGATGATCTCCAGAGCTCTCGCTGCATTTACAGCACCGAAACAGGATAAGATGAAGAGGCGAAGTTATTTTGCCAAACAGTAGAAAGCACTTACAGATCCGATCGTTAATCGTTTAAAGCGTATTCCCCTTTTACTGGCCAACATTCTATATAGAATTAAGACGCTTTACAATAGGGAGTCGGCAGCGGGATTAGACTAGGTGAATCCAATCCTAGCCATGGGTTCCTGATTAGGCGTAGCTCATGGATCACTGGACTCAATTTGCTGATCATTGCGCAGTCTTCCATAGCTCCTCAAATAATTCCTATATACAGTCGAGCTACTCTATACAAAACTCCACAATTCGTGTCTGCCAAATCTTTATTTGTCTAATAAGTGTATTTGTAATATATCTTTTTCTATTCAAAAAATGTCACATATCAATCCAATAACTTTTATCAAAGCTCTTTGTGCTAGTTGGTGCAATATTTATTTAATGTCCAAAGTACTTATTTCTTATTATTCATTCCGTGTCGTAGTTCACCTTGTCATAAGTATCTGGGCCATATTCGAATCTCAGTTTCGATCGAACCGAATTGTATCATTTCGAAGGAATCAACTCAAATTAAGTCCAATTAAAAACATGCAAGAAATTCAATTTTGATTTGAAAGAAGGCCACGCCTTAATCTCTTAGTTTGATCAATTTATTGTAAAGAAAGCTAATGCATTTTTATATATAATATATATGTATATATATAATAAGCAAAATGTAAGCCAAATCCATTAAAAACCCATCTTAATCCGGTTTAAGTTAAAATATCAGATATTCGGCTTTGAATCGATTTGGAACTAAACTTGTTTTCAATATCATAGGTATGTTATTGCTATATGCTACGATTTGGTTCTTATTCGAAACTATTTGCAAACAAATTCTTTATATATTGTTGATAAAATGTTTTTACTTAAAATGTGATTCTACTGTTGAGCGTAAAAGTTCTTCAGCCAGCTCTCGCAGCAGCTGCAACAAACAACAACATACATTTACTTGCGTGTACATGTACATATTTAATTGATGCGATTTCTAATATATATCTATATATATATACTGTTGGGGTGATTTTGATCTGTGGCGCGCCATTGTTGTCTGTCGTTGTAAACGCCATTTGGTTATTCGATTTGTGCATATACCAAAATTGTGGCCAGTTTTTCCCATGTTCTTTGATTACTTTTAATATACTTGCAGTATATTATTTTTTTATGCTTATATATATATATATATATATACATACTATTTTTTTTTTATTGTCGTCCCTATTAAATGTGTAAATAAATCAAACAAGATATTTTAATAAAAATTATAAAATTACAATAAAAAACCATTATATATTAGCTTTTCATATGTTGCTGCTCTTGATCTATGTATATGTCTATATCCTATCTATGTGAACTCGGTCTCTATAAGACTTGTAGACATGAAATTTGTTATGTGGATGCATGAATACCACATTATTCATAATTTTCAATACCGAGTTCTTTAAATTGATTATAAGCTTCAAATTAAAGACAGTTTTGGTTGAGTTAGGTCTAGAAATTCTGATCATTTCGTGTATAAGGATTGGTAAAGCCATTCCCAAAAGGCGCAAAGAGAAGCAATTATATTTCTAGTTCCAATATCCAACTTGTGGCTATTTAAGACTTGTTAACATGATATCTCTTGTCCTGTATAGTACAGTTCTTAAGGTTCTTAAGCTTTTTAGCCGAACCGGTTCGATTTCGGTGGTTCAACTAATTCTTTGCCATAAACGAAACCTTAAAGAAACTGAAACCAGAAATTAACCTTGTTTTTTTGGATAAAGTTTTGGTTTTAATAAAACCCGTTGACTCAGCCCCAAGTCTTAATTTGTATTGAATTTTGAAACGAATCGAACCATTGGTTGGTTCAAACCGTGAACTGAGCCAACTGGAAACTGTTTTTTTTTCATTTGGGCTTGCAGCCCTGTTGCGAACACAGTAAGCCTTGAGAATTGTGTGAAATAAAAGTGGATATGAGTTAATTTAATTGTTTTTGTTGCATTGAAGTTCGACAAATCATTTGACTGAGCATCGAGAAACGAGAAAACATTTGGGATACTTTTGGAAAATGTTGTCACTGAGACGCTTGCAAAGATTTCAATGGCGCCCGTTGGTGCGTCTCTGTTCGGCTGAGCTAGTACACAAAGTGAGTGCTGCCCAATTCAAGTATCTATACATAGATATATATATATATATATATATATATATATATATATATATATTACTCAAAACGAATTGAATGTTTAACCCTCCTGTATCCACCCACGAATAGGACACTTTTATAGAGAAACTGAGGAACAGCTTCATCGAGGACGAGCGAAATCATTTTGTCGTGCCGACGTTTAAGAAGGCCATGCTCTTTCCAGACGAGATTGCGGTTAAGGATCTTAATGGCGAATTTACCTACTTTCAGCTCTACATAACCGCAAAAAAGCTGGCCATTCAAATATCCAATTTTTGTGGTAAAACAACAAAGCATACAGACAAAAGTCGGCAGTGCCCGACTAGAAGATACTCATTATCCAGCGCCGCGCTGTCCTCTTCTCTTCTCCGACCCACTTTGTGGCAAGTTCAGTCTCGAATAACTTCGGTGCTTGTTGTCCGATCAATTTGAAACTTTCAGTGCATAAATATGCCATGCAAATATGTGCATATACCAAAGCCCAAGACCATGTTTGTCTTCTTTTACATTTTGATGGAACTGGGAGAGGTATTCAAAAAGTTACCATACCCAAGTCCAAGCTCTAAAATGGGGATATCGATTTCTTACCGAAACGTAAGCTTGATCCTAGTCCTGTCCATACGGACAGACTACAGGAAATGGCTAGATCGACTCGGTTGTGGGAATATATACATAATTTATAGGCTTGCAATCGATTGTTTTACAGGCAGCGCCTCGCAGTCGAATGTGGCATTCTTGTGCTCGACAAATGCCCTGTGGATAGTTATACAGTGGGGCTGCTGGATCTCTGGGCAGGTGGCCGTGCCGCTGGAGCCGAATCAGGCGCCGGATGAGCTGCTCAGCCAGGCGACGGACTGCAAGGCCAAGCTGCTGATTGGAACACCCGAGTGCGAGGGCATTACACAGGATCTGGCGACAAAGCTGCAGACGGCCAGCATTGTGCTGGACCACAGCTTTGTGCCCACATCGGAGAGTGTCGCCTCGACGGCAATGTATGCCAAGCAGCTGGTGGGCCTCAATGGCGCTCTCATACCGGAGAGCACGCTGCCCAATGACTACTATGCCAATGCGCCGGCATTGCTGCTCTATACGCCGGGCTCATCGAACGGCCGGAACGGTGTGGTGCTCACCCATCGGAATATCGAGGCGCAAATGCGGTGCCTGGTGACCAGCTGGCATCTGAATGCCAGCGACTCGATGCTGCCGCTTATCTCCATGAATCGCATGCATGCGGCAATTGGAGCCCTGCTCGGCGTCGGCGGCAATATATTGCTGCAGCAGAAATTTGATAGCCATACCGCGTGGAGCTCCCTGCTGGGCATCAATAGCCCCTCCAAGCAGCGCGTGAATATCTTTCTGGCCATGCCCATCATATACAAACGTCTGATTGCCGAATATGACAAGATGTTTGCCCAGGACTCGCGCATGGTTGAGTACATTGTCAATCATTGCAAGCAAAAGATTCGCCTGATGGCCACCGCCTTTGGCCTGCTGCCGGAATCGGTTTTCTATCGCTGGCGCGAGATAACGGGCCAGAATATCTATGAATACTATGGCATGCTGGAGACGGGCCTGGTGCTGGGGCCCACGCTCGAAGAGCAGTCGCCCAACAGCAATACGGACTATCGTCCGGGCACGTTGGGCGCACCCCTTGTTGGCGTGTCGGCGCGTCTGGTGAATAGCAATGGGGATCAGCTGGTCAGCTGTAATAGTGAATTGTTACCAGCCGCTGGAATCGGCACAGATCCGCCGGAGCAGAAGGATCCGCCAAAGAGCACACTGCTGCTCAACACGGTAGTGGGCGAACTGGAAATAGCTGGCAATAATCTTTTCCCGCAGAAGGTGAGCGGCACGCTGCCACAGAAATCGACGCCAGAAGAGGAACAGCAGCAGCAGCAGCAGGAGCCGCAGCCGCAGCAGCAGCAGCAGCAGCTGCAGGAGCAGCATGAGGAGCCGCCCATCGAAAAGTATTTGAAGACGGGTGACATTTGCGCCTATCGTAATGGCAGCTTTCACTTTCTGAGCAAGTCGACGGACGTATTCAATGTGGGCGGCTATAAGATTTATGGATCCGAAATCAAAAAGGCCCTTATCTCGCATCCGGGTATCAATGATGTTGCCGTTCTGGGCATACCCAATAAATTGTGGGGACATCGGTTGGGCGTCATCTGCATATTGTCACCCGATTCGGATGTCGATCTGGAAACGATCAAGTCCTATTGCTATAGCCAATTGCCCGCCCACAAGCGTCCCACTGTCTTTAAGACAATCGTTGCCAAGTAATTACCAATCAATCAATCTATCCAATTCATCCATTGATCCATGGACCGACCGATCGTAAAAGAAAAATTTATGTGTTTATTGTTTAAGAAAAAAAGAAAATGACAAAAAAAAAAAAAAAAAAAAAAAAACAAAGGGAAACGGAAAAAGAATTCGTTCTTTTTACAGACGATTGCAATAGATTAAAACTTGTTTCCAGTGGGCTCAACAAATGTAATACAGACAAGCTTGATTAAATTTTAGGATATTGATACCCTTTCGTGAATATAAATATCGGACAGATAATAACCATTTATTTATTAACGAAATTTCTGTATAATCTATAACAGCTTGTTATACTCACAAAGTACAATTAAAACTTGGAATTTTATTAATATACTCGTCGGCTCTTCCATATTATTCCATACCAAAAACAAAACGCGATTCTATATATGTTTTGCATGTTGACCTGGCAAAATAAGTTTGAAGCCAATCCAAAGAACCCCCCTTTTTCCACGCAGGGAAGTGAATTTTCAAAGGTTTCACACTCTCGTCTCAAAAAAATATTTTGAAATATAAGTCCAAAGTATATATGTTTGTCACAAGAAAGAGTTATACAACCAATTTCAGTAACTCAGGAATATGAATTGTTAATTCGGTATTCATGAAATCCTAGATTTCATATCGAAATATAAGTATGTGTACTCCCCGTTCTCCAAACAGAAAATGTTTATAAGTTTAAAGGCGATTGCTTTCGAAACTTTTTTTTGAACCCCCCTTTTTCCACATTGGAAAGTGGATTCTCAGTTAGAGTGCAAAGCACGTCTTCAATCGATTTTCCAAAAAATCTTGGAAAATTAGTTGAAATGTGATTAAATGATAAACAAAAAAAAAAAAAGTCCTACAACTGTTTTCGGATTCCTGCACAGCTTTCGGTGGATTGCAGTAACTCAGGAGGTATTCCAACATGAATTGTGGATTTCAGTTACGTGTCCAACAAATAATAAGGCAAATAACATAATATGCTCATCTGTTTAATACATTTATATAAATATGGGAACATGAAATATTGCCCGATTTCGAAGACTGTCAAATATTATGCCGATGGATCGTTAAAGTTGTAGTCCACATCTTCGCTGCTGGAGCACAGAGCGGAGTCCTTGGGATTGGTGCCACTTTTGCATGCTTCAGCGGGCTGCGAGCACGACTTATAAATGGGAAAGCCAATAAAGTTGGTTGCCGCATAATTACATGCGACTAGATACGTGTTGAAGCCGTCGTCCAGATAGTTGGAGATGGCACAGCCGACGGCGACGTTGCGCTCGTTAACCATGACCGTAAAGTGGCCAATGGTGCTATTGATGGAATCAGTAACGGTGCATGGCTAAGAACAGGCTTTACTTACGGTCCATTGTAGTTGTCGGGATACTCGGCTAGATGATCGGCATTGATGTGCTCAGCTTCCGTTGCCCAATCCGCGACAGCATCACGCAAAATGCTGGCCGCATCCGGTTCACCCGAGCCCGTGGTGCCGACGATGTAGAGATTCTGCCCGGAGTTCTTGTAAATCTGCGTATTATGACAGTCGTCGTGTTCCATGTGGCACTGCTTCACATTCAACTCGGCCAGACGCGCCAGCTCCGGATCCCAGCTAATTGTGGCCATGTTGCAGGCACTCACCCTGACCCTGCCCTGCCCACTGGCCCATTGCTGTCGCAGGTCATTGTGTGCCACGACGACCGCATTCTGCGCCGTTTTATCCACAGCCAGCAGCTTGGCAGCCGCCGGACAACTGCTGGCGAAGCTCTGCAAGCAACGGTTGCAGTCAGCTGTATGTTAAGGTGGAGCAGCCGCTAGCCAAACGCTTACCCCATCGTTGCCGCAAGCTATGTGCTTCTCGCCGGAACAGGATTCTAACTGGCAATAGTCAGTCGCCAGGCTACCCGCCGTTAGCAGGCCGAGCACTGCGATAGCTTGGATCATCAGCCAGCTGGAGCTGCCTTTGGTTCTAGCCGTTTCCATGGTGGGACTGTCTGTGTTCCGTTCGCTGACGGCGTTCCTTATAGCGGCAACTCGCATGGAAATCGTGAGCTATTATCGTGCTTACGAAATTAGAAATGCACGGCTCGCTGATAAGCTAAAGATTCGCACGAAAACCAATTAAGTAACGAGAGTTCGACTCACAGGTGGAACAGGTACTCAAAAAAAGTTTATTAAAATTTATATGTAGCTGGAATTCCTGAGCGAGTTGCAGATTTTATGAACAATACTTGACAAAGAAAGACTTTTTACGAAAAAGGGGGCTAAGGGGTAAGGGGATTTTCGGAGTTAAGAGTACTTCTGGGGATTATATAATTTATTTTATTATTTAAATTATGCATATTAGAGATACAGCTTAAACGAAAGGAATTTTTGTTGAAGAAGGGCAAAGGACTTACAAATCCAAAATACGTGCTCAAGTATTAAAACATTTACGATTTCTTTGGGCATTTTCTTGAAATAGTACTAAGTATTAAGACTTTAATTGGCAGAACTTGAATCACATTAAATTATAACACATCTAATCAAGCCAAATTCTAAACATCACCTGATTTCATGAGAATTGCATAGAAGGGCAAGAGTCATAAATACTTTTCCTTTATTATGTAGCGCATCGGAAGGTTTAATTGGCCTGCGATTTGTATGCATACATAAAACACACATGTAAATTTCAATCTACTCAAAGCATGCCAAATTCTCTGGCTTACATGTGTTTATGATAATCGTATGGAAATGACCACATTTAAACATATTTTCATACACACACATAAAAACACTTATATATAAAATAAACTCAACCTTTTAATAAAACCCATCGAATTAAAGCAAGCCAAAGTGTAAGGCGTACATGGGCTCATGAGAATCGGATAGAAGGGCAACATTCACAGATACGGCTTAGGGATTTTTAGGAACCCCAAAAGGAACCCCTCATGTTTTTCAGTTGTTAATAAGACCTAAAGGCTTGCTATTGGAAAGATTTTGGAATTATTTAAGTTTCTTCAGTGGTTTTTGATTTTTTTGTTTTTACCTGATCAGAGTAAACTTTGCGCATTTTTTTTCGGTTGAAATCTAGCCTGCTTTATTGGAACTTTAGAATTTTGTCTGGTTTATGTGTCACTGGTTTTCGGACGCAAACTCAATTCGAAATTCCAAAAATTGACTGGGGTCCAGTTGGCGACCGAACCGAGTCGACGGCTGCAATAATGACGGTTACCTATTTGATACCAATATATCCGCCCGATAACAGATTCGTACTGGATTGGGATGACAATGTGGAGGCGTCGCTGTTGCTGGCACTTGGCTTCTTAGTTCTGATGCAGCTGATGCTCCTGATTTATATAGTGCTAGCCCATTTTCAGCCCTGCACACTCTATCGCCAGCAGCTGAACGAGAGCTATCGTCGGCGCTATAAGAATTTTATATTTCGCCGACTGCTGGCACAACTGGATCGGGCCCTGAGGCAGCGGCCAGGTGCTGGTCAGGAGCTGAGCTCATGTCTAGAAGCGAAACGCATGGCACAGTTGGCGATACGTTTGTTCTGTCGGGACACCACCAAGGTACTCTATCCGGAATACGAACTTGACTCATCGGCGGCCAGTGATGCTTATTTTGTGCTTGACGACGAGGAGGCCGAACTGAATTCCGCAGGCTATGCCAGCGTTAATTTTGATGTCACGGATGCTTTCCTAGAGAGCCTATTGTATCCGAAACGCGCTGACATCCCCAGTAAAAACAAAACAAAGTTGTGAAACTGTTCAAACACATTATCACTAAGTTCGTTTATTGTGCTGACATCGCTGAGGACTATCTGAATTACGATTTATTCCCGTAAGTTTTGCTCATTTTCTGGTCACTAGTCACAATACTTACTCGCTGATTCAATATATATACTCGCTGAAGTTTCTACTCGCTGAAGACTTAACTCGCCAAATCACTTGCCCATGTCCGCTGAACCTGACTCGCTGAAACATTTATTCGCTGAAAGTATTTGCTCGCTCAAGAACTTTTTCGCCGAGTCACGACTCGTTGAAGCACTTACTCGCTGGATTACTTACATCCTTGCTTGCTGAAGCCTAATTCGCTGGAAAAAAAAATAACTGAAGCAGACTCGCTGAAGTTAAGATTCGGAGATGCATGCATTAAGTGAAAGTTCCAATTCGCTTAAGACTGAAAAAATCTACTCGCTGAAGTCTTTGCTGAGCTATTGAACTGAACTATTGAAAATTTGTATTAAATATATGTTTATATTTTGCAAACAACTCGAAGTTTTCACTCGCACACAAAAACCAACTAGAAACATAACATAAAAGCATATATATAAATAGAAATAATTGTTTATACTAAACATTAGCAACCTGTCGATATACTTATGTATGGACTTGTATACCTACAGTTATATACAATTTACAATACAAATTATGACAAACAAACAAAAAAAAAAGCGCGAACAAAACTACATTCGAAGGAAGGAAGGAAGCTGCACGAACAATCGATGGAGAGGAAATCACTTCTTGAAACAGATCTTGAGTACGCGTATGACTGGCGCCTCGAACAGGGCGGATATGACAAAGGCCGAGCCGAAGGAGACAACAGCATTGCCCAGAAATGTGGTCAATATCATCGGATTGTTCAGATGCACGGTGCCGCTCATGTGCGATGAGCAGATGAACATGATGATCGGATGGATGAGATACGCACAGTAGGTGAGGCGCGATAGTGGCCAGAGCACGCGGTAGGAGAGTATCGCATTGACGGTGGGCGCCAGGCCCCAGCAGCAGGAGAGCACAATCCAGACGAGGCCGCAGCCGAAGGCGGTGTGTCCGATGCCCACATAGAAGGCCGTGTTCACGACGCTCAGCTCGCCCGGCCAAACGCCAAAGATGACAAGGAATAATATGCCCAGACTGCAGGCCCACAGACTAAGATTGAGCCGCCTCGAGATCTGCGGCGGCGTCTTCACCCTATACAGCGCATAGCCGGCGAACATGCCTGCGGATCGATCAGGGCATTAATGATTGTCTCTCATGCCAGGGATTTGGTTGTAGAGGACTTACCCACGATGTAGGCGCCCACACGCTGCCAGGGCTTGTCGTAGAGAAAGTCAAAGGACTCAAAGGGCAGCGCCACCTTATGAGTATACTGATGCTGCATGGAGATGATGCCCGCAATGCTCCACGAGCTGACCAGAAACACAATCAGCGTCAGAGCCACAGCCTTGAAGTATCTGTAAGTGACAAGCCAAAAGATTGGGAATCGTTGATAATGGAGATCGACTGCACACTCACTTTCGGGAGAGGGCCAGCAGTAGGCATGCCATGCAATAGAACTGCATATCATTGGCCATATACCAGCTCCACATCATGCACATCTCGTGCTGGGGAAAGAAGTTGTTGATATAGAGTATGTTGCGCCACCAATAGATGCGGCAGGTGTTGTGCTCGATTTTGGCCGGCTGGAAAACGGACGAGTCCAGGCCCTGCCGCACGGCAAAGTCATTGAACAACACCACAAAGAGGTAGACGGGCGTGAGGCGCAAATAGCGATAGAGAAGCATCATCAGCGTGTCCTGGCAGCTGCGCTTCACGAAGCTGCACGGCGGCCCCGGCGGCTTGCGCTCCTGCTTCACATAGAGCAGAGTCACCAGCAGGCCGCTGATGAAGAAGAACGAGTCCACGGAGAAGGTCGCATTGCCAATGATCTGGTACCAAAACGAACGCTCCGTAATCACGCGTTCGAACTGGCCGTTAGAAATGCAGACAGTTAAAAAGAAATTGGACTACGTGCCAGAGCCTACCTTATTCTCGCCTATGGCAAACATCTGCAGATACGTGTGCACCATCATGGTCCAGAGCACCGAGAAGACACGCAGGCCGTGCAAGCAGGATGTGTGCGTCTGCAATGGGATTTGCAGTAAGAGGAAGAGGAAGAAGTTAGGCTTAAACTTACCTCCTTGGTCTTGTCTATGTTCAATATGGCCTTGGCGTTCGTTTGCAGTGCAAAGCACAGCAACAGCTGCTGGTGCAGAGCTGCAAGGATTGGTTGCAGTTTATATATCAGTTATATATGGGCAATACCAAGTGCAGCCTGGCTTTGCGCGGCTTACATATTTGTCATTTAATTTATCTCAATTAAAATAACTTCCCACTTAGTTGGAAAGCACGTCTCTAAAACCATTTGAAAGCCAATCGGTGTTAAGCCAAAAGATTCACAAAAGCGACTTTCACTAATTTTCCACTTTCCCGTGTGAAAGCGCCCAAAAATGCCCTGCATTTACATCCCAAAGGGTTCAAACAAATAATAAATTTTTACCTCTAAGGGGTTTGCTCTAAGTGATCATCATCAGTCAGTCGGTCAGTCAATCAGTCAATCAATTAACTATATATATATATATTGCTTATATTGTTAAGTGTAAACACCTACCTATGGGCTGTTCGGCCTCGTAGGTGCCCTGTACGCCCGCACAGCTGCCCGTTTCCACCTGGTAGTCCGTCATCTCGGTCTTTTCCGACTGTTTGCCCGTCACGCCCACGCCCACGGCCAAGGCCACGCCTACCGAGGTAGATGCTGTGCCCTCGCCAGGCATTGCCTCAGTTAAATTAGCAGCAGCATCCATGACATGACGCTGCCTGTTGCCATTCATATCCATGTGTGCGTCCAGGGCCGTCTCGCTGGCCACAATCCCATTGCTGCCCAGCGGACGCATCTGGAACAGCTCAAAGGGCTTGCCATAGTAGGCGGTCTCGTAGTCGCCGCCCTTGTTGGCCGCATCGCATTTGGCGCTTATCGCTGGTATCGGGGCCGCAACCAGGCGACGCTTATCGATTTTTAGCTGGCAATAGGTGGCCACAATCATCACCAGCAGCAGGGTAAGCAGAAAGCTTCTGCAGGCAGAAAGGGAGAGAGAGAGAGTGAGAGGGAGAGGAAGAAAGAGGGAGTTGGGGCATTGTGCATGGCCTCTGCTACTCACATGAACACCTGGAACTTTAGCTGCCGCCAGTGGCTGTAGGGGCCGGGCACGGTGCGCACGCGCAGCACCTGCAACGCCGGTTGCTGGACGCTGGCATTGTGTGCAGCCAACATGGTCAGCATGCGGGCGTAGGGATCCAGCGAGAGTATGGCCTGGACATCGTGCGCCGAGCAGGACTTGGGTAGGCACTCGCCCAGGCTTAGCATCTGCTGCTGTGTGTGGACACACGCTATAGTTGGGCTAACGCTCATCTTGTTTCACTTACCGTTCGATTGAGCCGTGGCAATTGCAGGGACACATCTGCCACATAGAACTCCAGCTCAAAGTGCTTGCGCTCCCCGCTACCCGACAGCTGTCGGTTGAGCTCAAGGCAGAATTGCAGCTGACCCAGCCACTTGTCATTGCCGAACAGCAGCTGCCCACGATATCGTCCGGATGCATCATATGCTGCAATCAAAGATCAGTAAAGTTATCTCAATGAGATAAAACTCATAATGTTTCTCCCAAGATCAGTTATATACCCCTAAATATCGCTGATGATCTGCTAAGGTTTGCCAACTGATCTTTAGCTGATCCTTAATTTTTAAAATTAGTCAAATTCTCGTGATCATATTTACAATAATTAATAAATTGCATCGATCAGTGATCGCAGCTACAAGTTTGCACATTTCTAAGATCACAGATCACAGTCATGGGCTATGGAAAGATCCAAAAAGTAGTGTTCATTCATACATTAATTTCTCAGTAAAGATTCCTTAGAAATCTGTAAGTAGATCGGCAGACTTTAAAAATACCAAGGCTTTGCTGATCCGTTTTTATCTTCTATCTATCTTCGAAATCATCACGATCCTATATAAATAATAAATTATTTATTATTCTGATCTCTATTAAGCGAATAACTAAGGGAAGAATGTAGTATATAGAAGCCTTAATTTCAAGATCAGTAAAGCTCGATAGGGTATTAAAAAAAAAACATCTTAGGTTTGTAGGTAGTTCTACGGGAAGCAGTAGAGCTCTCGATTAGGAAGAAGATCATATGTATACGTAGAATGTCATATGTATTCGTATGCCCTTGCAGTGGGTATGACAATTTTCCCAAAAACTGTGTGTGTATCATATAGCTCTATAAAAAAAATGGAGTGGAAAGACTTTTCTCTATTTTAAGATATATTGATATCTTCCTAAATTATCTGCAAAAGCTCATCAAATCGGACTAAAATTTTATATAGCCTATTCTTAAGGACATTTCCAAGGTGCCTGTCTGCAAGGCCATTTAACGTTCAGCGTGCTTGCTTTGTGGTTTTATCTTTTAATACACTACACCCATTGAAAATTATTAAAAAGGGATGAATGCTTTCGTGCGAATGTATGTAACAGACAGAAGAAAGCAACAGTTTACTCACCTTTCTGTGCCCACTCGTAGCTGGAGTGGAGTGCGGTCAGGTATGCCTGCATTTCGAGGCCACAGCCGGTGCGCACACTGGTGCGTATCTCGGAGATCTGCCAGTAGAAGTGATCGTAGAGGTTGGTCACGATCTGAAAGTAGTTAGCCGAGCCGTAGAGGCTCTCGGCCATGCTGCTGTTGGTATTGCCTGAGCTATTGCTGCCCAGATAGCGGCTGATGCTGTTGATGGTGCTGCCCAGGGTCTTCAGCTGCATGTCGTCGTCGCTCTGCTTGAGCAGCTCGCGACCCTTCTTCGTGGATGGCTTGTTCCGCAGTATTTTCAAGATGTGTGTGCCGGGTGTGGTTGTGGTGCTCGTTGTTGTGCCTGCAGTTGCTGTTGTCGTTGTTGTTGTGGTTGTGGGAGCTGTGGTGGGCAGCGCGTAACCAGACTCGGGCAGCGCTGATATATCCACATCGACAGGATCGGTGTCATCGGGATTTGTGGGCTTGTAGCTGAGGTCGGGCGCATTGCCATTGCTGAGCACGTGCTGCTCCTCGCTGCTGAGATCACCCTTCTTGATGACCTCATGCTCGAGATCCTCCAGATCGCCCAAGTTGAAATCGAACGTAACCGGATGCAGTTCGTACTCCTTCAGCGGATGCGGCTTAACATAATCAATGGCCGGCAACAGCTTGTCCAGCGGCAGGTATGGCTTCTTCTTGGTCGGCTTCTGCGGCGGCAGCACCTCGTGTATGTTGAGCGTTAGCGGTGGCTCCGCCAGCTCCTCCTCGGGCGTGACCTCATGCAGTATGGTTATGTTGTTCCGGCTGCTAAAACGATGCGCCGTGGAGGCCAAGGTCTTGGCCGGCGCCGAGCCGCCAGCTCCAGTTACGGCATGCAGCTCGGTTTGATTGGGCGCGGCAACAGCTCGGCTGGCGCACAGGATGACAGTCAGCAAAATGGTCCATTGTCCAACAGTTGCTTTGCCGCTGCCTGGCCAGAGCCTCGATGTCCTTGACATATCGTCCGGCTGCTGCTCCAACTGCTTCACCTTGGTCTTACTGCTGCGCTGTGGCCTGGACTTTGGCTTGATGTCTCGTTGCAGTCGAGTTTGTTTTTTTTTTTAATCGCTTGACTGCATTTTTTTTTGTTTTTGATTTTTTTGGTTGCTCAGTTTTCACGTGTTATTTTGCTTCTGCTCCAAGTTGCGATTCTCACTTCGCGCTGTCATCGTTCACGTGGCGTGCACAATGGGCATCTAGATGTTATGTATATATATATATATAGATTATTGAAAGAGTTCAGTGTACGTTTACCCCATATATTATTGCGCTTTATGGGCTGCCAGCCAAAGTTATGAGCCGATTTGTTGTTCGCTTTTATCTATATATATTTTTATGGTTTTAATTGTTTCTAGGCGGGCGCAGGTTGCACGGATTGCCAAAGCCTGCCGCAGCTGCTGCTTTCACAGGCAGCAAAGAGGAAAATTACAAAATTTCCTGGTTAAACTTGTTAAACGTGTTGCAAGCACCGAGCAACGCCGAGTGGCCCGTTCGCAGTTGGATGTTGGCCAAAGCCAAAGCCGATCGGGCCGATGCCTATGCCGAATGCTGCCTGCTGCCTGCTGTTTGAGGGGAAAAATGCTGCTGATGTCTCGAGTTAGCCTTTCTTACATAACTTCCGCATCGCGCCATCAATTCGCACTGCTGCGATGATGATGATGATCTTTGGCACCGCATTCGCAGTTTTCACCTGATTATGCAATTTCTATGTGGTCTAAATTGATCGCTCAATATCGTTGGCCACAGCTAGTCATTAGCCTATTATCGCTCTCTTAGCTTTTATGATCTCAGTAACTGTTTTGAGAACTGAGAAATATAAAGGAATCAAGCATGAATTAACTTCTGCTGTACTAAGACACAATTCCTTTCTGCCTTAGTACCTTAGTACCTGTATCTCTTAAATAACATGCGAAGTCCTCGGTATCCCCTCTCTCTAATCTCTTGAAACTAGCTCCTAAATCCTCTCAATTTCAACTGTAGCTAAGCATTTACAGAATACCCCCATTTAACTAAAAGAAAACTTAAGCCCATAAATCATACAAATATCTTATCATTCTTCAATAGATTCTTCTATTGGGTAACTAGTAAGAAATCCTTACAAAAAGTGTAAAGATTCTACAAATTGATCCTATTTATATCTTCTTTGCTTTAACATAATGTGAACCATTATTCTTAATATTATTCTTACGAAAGCCATTATCATATTAAAGAGCACTTGGTACTATGGCACACCCTGAGGAAATGGATTCCCGCATCCATGCACTTGCCACTTGCCAGGCACTGAAATCCGTTTCCTGAAAGTATTCAGGAAACTATTCTACAGTCATTTAGAGGATTCATATTTTTCTATGGAAAGTAAAAGATCTAGCTCAAATACTGCTTATATAACCGAAAGCCTTAACAATCTGTACTAGGCCTTTTAACTAGAGCAGAGCAGACATATTTTAAGAAATATTTTGAGGTTTTTCCCTTTGAATTCCTTCTTGTGAGCATTTTTTCTTCCTTCCTCAGCTGGAACTTTAATCTAACATTTGCAACATGCCATTTCTGTCAGCCTTTTTGGTGGTTTTTCCATATGCTCTTATTGGTAGAAAGTAATTCCAACGCATAAGCTACTACCATATAGTACTCCCAAATAGAAGGTATAGCTATGGTTGGCAGCGATAGATCCCAAAGGAAATAGGTTTCAAGACAATGGAATTTAGTTTTGAAAAGATCCCAACAGGTGTCAAAGAGATGTGACCGTGTCTAGCCTTAACAAAGCTAGGTCTAAGACCTATTTCTTCTAAATATCTTCCAAATAGTAATATCTGTTTCTCAAGATTTTTGTAAAACTATTAATCTTGATCTTGAGAAAAAGCTATTACTTCTTCTTCCGCTTTCTAAAGCAGATGTGGAATTGCGCATCTTTAATTAAAATTCCATTGTAATTTCCTTTGCAAAACCTTAAGCCAACCGGAACCGAACCCAACTTCAATCAAACAGACCTCTATCTAGCCCCTAGTATAGCCCAAGTCTAATGGAATGACATCAACTGAAGATCTGTTTGGGCCTGTTAATTAATGTTGAGCCACTGAATACACTCATTCGCATACTGGACTCATTTGCCACATTCACATAAGTTGTGGGCGGTAGGGGGTGGGGGACGGGTGTTGGCAAGCAAGCAAAGTGGTGCAACATATTGCAATTCAATTGTTTGCCAATCGTAATAACAACAACAACAATAAAACCCACGCAATGTCGTGTGGAGACGGGTGCAATGGGTGCGCGCTGGGTGGTAATTGGAGAGGTAAACAACAATAGCAACAAAAATAAAAGTAAAAAAAATGGAAACAACACGAGAAAAAAAAAGCGGCACAAAACTGTAAAACTGGACACGACGGCCACTTTTTGGTTAATTTTTGCTGACAACCGATGCTCAACCGTTGCGATGAAAGTAAAAACCGCGACTGATCAGGCGCCGCTAGAGCTGGCAGCGCTGAAAGCCAATGGACGGCCGAGGCTACTCACGAGCCGCGCCGAAGCCGAGCCGAAGACGAGCCGAAGCTCAGTCGAGCCAATACAGGCAAAAGCACGCGCAGAAAATGTGTGAGGGGAAGGGGTGGGCAGCTGAAGACAGAGACACAAATGCAATTGCAAGTGCAAGAGTCCGCCTTTGTGTAACTGGGTGTGCGTGCGTAAAGCTGTGTGCGTGTGTGTGTATGTTTGTGTGTGTGGTAAAGCGCAATAAAGCAAACAAGCAAAAGTCATAATGTGCACTAAAAACCAGGCGAATGCAATTGCCATGGAGGCCACAACTTGGTCCATAGCTGGCTCTTTGCCCGCTATCCCAAATGAAATCGAATGTATGGGATTCAGTTAAATCAAGACAGAGTGAGAGGGAGAGAGACTGGGCGAAAGAGAGGGTGGAGGGGAGTGAAACAGGCATTACAGCGTGATAGACATGCTGCAGACGCAAAAAAACAACCAATAAGCGTGCTCTAGTCGGGAGAGCTCGACTGGTAGATGCCCTCCCTACACCCAGTGCCAAGCTTCCTCTTAGAGATTCCCTCAATCTTCCCCTTTTGCCTTTTAAAATACATATACTTGATTAACTTCGATGCTTATGCTTATATGTGGCAAGCTCAAGGCTGTACCCTTAAAAAGATGTTGATCTTTTCCAATTTGAGTAGGTGTCCAAAATCGGTATATATTAGACAAGAACCTACATACCAAGTTTGGTGTATTTAACTCTTACAATTTTCGATTTATTAATAAACCAATATGCTCTCCTCACTGAAGCGAGCATAAATATGTAAGTGCAAGCCATGAACTGAGCGCACTGACCAGCTACCAGGTGAAACGAACCAGTAGTAGCCTCCGCTGCTGCCCTGCGCTCGCCGTTGCCTCATGATATGCAACTGGCAGAACTAGCTCGGGTTCAGCCACGGCAATAACAACAACAACAAATTGTCGCATTGCAACAAAAATGGTAACAAAAACATCACGAATTTTCGCACAGAAAAGAGTTCAGTGGCAGCCGCACAATAAAAACAACTGTGACCAGCCGCACCCTCCCAACTCTGAAGGCGAGTGAATTGCGAATGATTTGTGAATGTGCTTCAAGTCTCAAGTATTTGATTGCTAAAGCCAAAAGATCCTAGTCCCAATCTCAGCCTAAGCTCAGGTCAATGAAGGGGAATGTGCTGTACATGTATGAAGAATTGTATTATTGGATATGTGTTTATATTAACATATAATAATATTATTGGAAACATATTGTCCCAGCCCCAATCTAAAACTTGCAAATGATTTCTAAACGATTTGCGAGGAGATTGTTTTCAAACTTTATAAGATATTATTTTGTGAATTTCTATTGTCAGCACAAGCTTTCGTTTATAGAGCCAAAAGAGTTGCAATTATTATTGATATGCAAATTTCAACACCAGCTCCAGTTAATAAAGCAAACGAGCTGTAAATGATTCGAAATAAGTCGTAAATGTCATTTGCAAGCCATTTGACATTATGATAATAATTTTAAATGTTGCTTCTATGCGATTCTCATTAATTCAAGTCAGCTTTACTAGTTTGCATGCCTTGTTTTGAAGTGTCATATTAGCAACTCTGTATGAACAAAAATATCTTATATTATCTATATATGTTTATATGTTATCTATATTTGTGTGTATGTGTGTGCATATGTGTTTGTATACATGTATGTATGCATATTTGTATGATGGTGATTTCGAATGTAGATATTTATATTTATGTTTTATATTGACTTTTTAGAATTTTTATATCGCCCTACTATGCGATTCTCAGCAATTCCAATGGGTCTTACTGCTATTCGTGCTTTCAATATTATTTGAACAAGCACCAGGTAACAATCTATTAAATTTATTCTCACTTCTCGCACTTTAAAATACTCTCTTCCTGTCTATCACTCACTCTGTCTTTCTTTACTTTTGTCTTTTTAGGGAAGTGGATAAGTCTCCTTCCCACTAATAGATGACAATGACTTAATTGTTCGTTTGTGTCTGCGAACTTTTGGGTAAGTACATGTTTCTTTTACATTTTTATAAGTATAGAATATCCAAGCTTAATTTAAAGCCCTGCTATTGGATACGAGTGAGCTGCAATGATTTGCAAATGTGCAGAAAATGTTAGTCATAAAATAGCTTAAAAATATATCTTTGCCTAACGTCCCATGCTCAAGTCAAGCGATGGTGTTGCATGCGAGTAGAACCTTGAAAACTGACGTGTTAAGATCGCGTAGAAAAACTTGTTCATGTATTTGCAGAAGCTTGTGCATTGAATGTGCATTGGACTTAGATGCAGAATCCGAATTAGATACTGATAGAGATGCAGATACAGATACAGATACATTTACAGATACAGATACAGATACAGATACAGGTACAGGTACAGGTACAGGTACAGATACAGATACAGATACAGATACAGATACAGATACAGATACAGATACAGATACAGATACAGATACAGATACAGATACAGATACAGATACAGATACAGATACAGATACAGATACAG